CATGAATGACCAGGGAGAGAAGAATTACAGAGGAACATTCATGATCAGGGTGAGAAGGAGAATACAGGAACATGCATGATCAAGGAGAGAAGAAATGTACAAGAACATGAATGACCAGGGAGAGAAGAATTATAGAGGAACATGCATGATCAGGGTGATAAGGAGAATACAGGAACATACATGATCAAGTCTTTCAAGAATGAGTCTAGAGGGTGCCCAGAACTGCCCTGTGCCTATTAAACTTCAAGATTATCGTTCAGGATCCCTGCCTGCTCCCTATCTAGAAACTCTTTTTAGAATATAACATAGCTTCCTAAAGTATACCTGCAAATATTGTGTTAGGTAATGGAGGGGAGTTGTTTATGAGATCTAAGAACGCTAATCTCAAATGTGTCAAGTTTTGGATCCTAATTCAAACAGAACAACTGCAAAATGGTCACTAAGCGTCTGCATGTTTACTGGGTTAAGGAGTTCTACTGTTGATTCCTGAATAAGAATCGTAGTTTTTAATGTGTTTTCTAATGTTTTATACGGGGCTCACGGTGTGTTTTTTAAAAAGGAGGAACATGAAGAATGCTTCAGGAAGGTGAACAACTGTGCAGGAAATAAATGTTTATCAGACTTTGACACCTAACTGACTAATACAGTGTTTCCCGGCTGCCTCCAGAGATTCTCAGTAGGGTCTACCAGTGATGCCTGCCACCTTGTGAGTTTTGTTTCTTTTCTTTCTTGTGCCATTTCTTTCCAACAAGATAGATACTCATTTTCAGAGGAGGAATGAGGCTCAAAGACAGCCAGTGCTTTCCAGCTCCTACAGAAAGGAATCCAGAGGACAGCTGTGGTCTCTGGTCTTTCCATGTCCCATTCCAGGGCTAACACAGAGGCAGAGAGACTGCAAAGCCACCCCTCCTGCCCTTTTTGCTGCTAGTTTGTCTCCCCAGCCACTTTCTGAGACAGTCAGGCGTTTGCTGTCCTTATCCTCGGGCAACTGGACTCTGTCTTTAAAATATGGTCCAAATCCCACGTTATCTGAGAACTGATTGAAACTTTAAAGGAAAAAGAGAGACAGGAACCCATTATTGGCTGGCCTCCATTCACATCCTGCTTCCTGTTGCTAATGATTGATTTTGCCTGAATTAATTAAAGTTTCACTCCTTTTCTCTCTGGTCAGCAAGACAAGCCATTAACACTGGCCCAAGAAACAAACTTTATTTTATTATCATCCATCCGCTATACTTTGAGTTCTTACTAGAAAAGGAGAAAGAGATTAGACAACCTTCCAAGGACCCTTCCCGACTAAGCTTCTGGGCCCTGAGAGCCCGTGATACAGCATAAACCAGACTAAATGAGGAAAAGGGGGTGTTAACAACAGAGGGAAGAGAAGCCACTGGAGGAGGTGTGACAGTGGCTCCAGGAGAAGCATCCCAAGTTGTGAAGTTTCTTAATGGCCAAGAGCCAAAGGCTTGCCATCCTTGAAGACAAACCATCCCCTGCTTACCAAGTGATTTCTGCCTCTAGTATAGAAACACTGGGTTTCTTTTCACCTTGCCTTTTCCACCCCCTTCCCTCACCCCTACAGGAAACCCTCATTACCTCAGTATTTAGAAGCATGGTCTTTTCTCCCATTGTGACCTAACATGTCACTACTAATGTCTGTTCTTCCCCATCCCCGTGGAAAGCAGAGAAAAGCGCAGGTTGACTATGGGCAGACCTGTCTCCAGCGACTCTTGATTACTGAAGAACCTTTTCAGGAAAATATTTATCAAGAGCCTACTATGTACCAAATGCTGACTGTCTGTTTTGAATTCTTCTAGGCAAATAAAGAAAAAGAATCTTGTTCCAAGCAAATATCTTCAGTTCTCAGAGTCAAGAAGTTTGGGTGAGCCCAGGCATTTTTAATCTGTTCTGATACTATAACAAAATACCTGAGGCTTCCAGGTCTGCAGCATCTGCAGATTTTAAAGCATGGTCCTTGTATCAACTTGGACCTAGTAAGGACCTCATTACAGATGGGATAATGTTCTAAGAGGAAGAACCCACGCAGTGAGTGGAGGGCTCCCATTAGAAACACCCACTAAGCCCTACTATGGCTTGTATCTTAAATGTCTCCACAAAGATCCAACGATTCAAAGCTTGGTCTATAGGAGGTGCTGATGGGAGGTGGTAGACTCTCTAAGAGGCAGGACCTAGGGAGTCAGTGGTGGTGTGTCCTCTCAGTGGGGTGGGAGACCACTCTTGCAGCTTTTCTTTGTTACATGGGAACGAGGTGAGCAGTTTTGCTCTCCCGTGCACTCTGTTTTGCAACTCCCAAAGCAGCATAGCCAGCTGATTGTGGCTTGGAACCTCCAAAAGCAGGAGCCAAAGGAAACCCTTTCTCTTTGTAAGCTGATCTTCTCAGGTCATTTGTTATGGTGATAGAAAACTACCCCAGCACCACCGAAGCTCGTAAATATCATACGACACTGTTAGACAGTCTCCGACATACTCCTCCAAGGGGCACAAACCAAATCCAAATTACAGAATGGTGAGTGAAGTGTGCTACCTAGGAGGCTATGCCAAAGATGAGTGAAAACTTGGGGGTTTCCTTCCTTACCTGCCTGAGACTTGGTACAGATTGCATTAACATTGGCCCAACTTTCTGTTACATTCACATCTGCACAGGCAGCTGTTGCCTTGGCCTTGAAGGCATTCCTCAGATCCCTTCCTCCTACTTATATCTGCCTGGCTCTTCTGCCCTGTAAGATTAGTTGAAGCATCATTTTCTTAACTCCCTGTGAAGTCCTCTCCAATGATCGAAAACTCTAAGGCCCACCCGGATCCCCACTTTCTACTTCTAGTACTTGGTAGTTTATTCCTCTCCACTGGACTATAGCATTCAGTAATATGCATCCTCATTTGCCTTCCTACAGGGATGGGGACGCAGTCCTGTGTGCAGGGTATGGCTTGTTGTAGGGATAAGTCCCGCCCCTTAGGGGGCGTGTTCGCCTCGGGCAGCGCTTGCTTCTGCTTTCCTGGTCTCCACTCGCCAAACATTAGCCAGAGGCGAACACGCCCCCTAAGGGACGGGACTTATCCCTACAGCTTGTCATCATCTAAGGAGTGTACACAGGCTTGAAATACCTGAAAATGTTTCATTAGGAAGAATCCACAGTTTCTCGGCAACCTCCTCCAACATTATTAGCTTACTGCATTCTTAACATTACGAATTCTGCAAAATGCTCAATTATGTCACTAGCCTATCCACCACAGTGGGCTTCAAACGTATACATTTTCAGTAAGACTAACATTAACCCCCAGGTAGAAATAAAGGGGATAAATAATAAATGTGAATATAAATAAATTCTAAAGTTGATAATGAATCTAACACATGACAGTAATAGAAATAACTGAAAAAAATCCCATCACTGTATCTCTGTAAACATTGTGCTTTGCATAAGAACAGAGGGCAAGATGAGAAGCAATGTCAAGATGCCCGAACTCCTGCAGGCTGACACAGTAGTGGCATCAACTGTGATGAAGGAAGATAGCTCAACTGCAGATACCAAGTGGGCTGAAGGCATCCACCATCCTGTGCAGTCAATGTGCGACTCTCACAGCTAAAGAGAAAAGCAAGATGCATCACCTGCTCTTCAAAGAAGTCGGGCTGCTTCGCAGCTCTCCACGTGCTGCCTATTTCTGGAGCTTTCTACAGAGGAGGTGGAGGTGAGAGGGAGCAAAGCAATCAATAGTTCTGAGCCCCGGAACCCACCCCGCACCCTCCACCCCTCCCAATCCACACCTCTCAATCCACACCCCCACCCCTGCCCAACGAATAACGGGCTACTGAGTTACCAGCCAGCTCCTACACACTCCACTGCTACTGGCTTCTCCTATGTTCACCAGTTTAAAAACAGTGTGCTTCTGACTCCGGGGAATACGCTGTAATGCCTTAGCTTATTTTCAATCACTTCAAATTTATTGCTGTGATGGAAAGCACCAAGGAAAATGTTAAGTTCTAAAAAGGCAAACGTTCTTGATGCCCACTAAACAATGTGACCGTCTCAGACAAACATCACCACTGCCCTCAGGAACAGAAGGAAGCTGTATGACAGTCATTTTTACTTCCTTTAATGACTGAGGGTCAACATACATCTAACCAGACCCATTTCCTAAAAGAGCAGAACCCGGCTTCCCACTCAGATCACAGGGCTACAATGTCATTTTTAGTAAGATGTTTATTTTGGATGTAGAATTCTTTGCAGACTAGATAGTACAGTCCAGGACAACTATGTGTCTGAGAACTTTAGGTAATAAGCAAACCTTGTATCTCAGGAGCTTGTCTTTTGCCAGCAACCCAACTACTTCTATCTAATGAGGTTAAGGTTCTGGGGAAAATGAGAAGCTCCCTCTGTCCCACTGCAAACCCGGCAGAGGCTGCAGTTCCGATTTCTAGCTGTGAATAAAGGTCATTCCTCCCACAGTTCTATTGTGTCAGACTTTCTTCTGAGCACTGCACACATGAGCACTTACTGGGTTCCCCACACCAGCCTGTGAAGTAGACAGGTAGGCTGCCTCCCTCTACAGATATACAAAGCGAGGGGTTAAGGAAAGGGCTCAAAGCTACACAAGTCATAAGTAGGGGAGCCAGAATTCAAACCCAGATAATTTTATGCTTTGATGTTGAAAGCTACCTTTTAAACACACAGAGAGAAAGGGAGAGAGAGAGAGAGAGAGAGAGAGAGAGAGAGAGAGAAGACACACACACACACACCTACAGAGTAGGCATCTTCTGGAAGGAAATGACACTGTGTACTAACTGACCCATGAATTCTCTCCTGTTGGATCTCCAGCGCAGATTTTTTTCCAAATCTCTGTACTACTACAGATGTGTGGATGCTAAATCTATCACCAACCAGCTGCTTCATCCCCGTGACCTCATCCCACGGTGCCTCGGGGCATCCCCCCTTGAGTAAAGGAGCACCACATCTTTATCTCCTACACAGAAGGAGTTCGGGTCTCACCTTTCCAGGCACGAGTGCGGCAGCGCTGCCAGTCCCTTACACATTTTGGCAAGTGGTTTGGGTCCTCAGTCTTGAACGCGAACTTCTCAACAGCCGAACAGGTCTCTGGAAACTTCCACACTGTCTGGGGCAGCCTTTCCCTCTGAGGAATATATACAGGCTCTCTCACAGCTCCGTGGCTCTGAGGACCAATCCGGAGCTCTGGAGAAATTGTGGGCTGGAGCACAGATGCAAGTTGCCTGAGGTGGGGGCTGGGAGGCCTCCCTGGCTGCAGGCACTGCTGGGGCGGGCTTCTGGCTGCTTCTGTTACTACAGCCTGTTGTTTGTTTAGTCAGGGCTAAATTGGACCCTAACTTGTGATGAGACCATTAGTGCACAAAGTCTGCAATCCCAGGCTGTCCACAACGGTGATGTGGAACCACTTCCCAGCTGTCACAGGTCAGGGGATACATCACTGAACTCACCTTTCTCTCACAAAGGAAGAAACGGTGCTCCTTTTCATGGTGGAGAGAATGTGTACCTGAGAATCCCATGTGCTGGGCACTTGGATGGATGTTAGGAATTCGGAGTTAAAAGGACCAGCCCAGGCTCTACAGCAAGGATGTTGGTGCAGGTGTGAGCTACAGAGGCAGGCCAGATTCAGGGGTTATGGAGCCAAACTAATAGTGAAAAGCAGAGAAGGGAGATTTGTTCACTGTGGCCCTGGAAAGACTGACAAAGAGATGATTCTCATTGTCATCTGCCTGACGTGAGGGTAGGGTTCAAACACAGCAGGGGATTCACATAACTAGTCAAGCAGGGTTATTCCCTGCCCACCTGTGTACAGCTCTGTTCTTTCTCTCTCTCTCTCAATCTCTCTCTCTCTCTCTCTCTCTCTCTCTCTCTGTCTGTCTCTCTCTGTGTCTGTCTCTCTCTCTCTCTCTCTCTCTCTCTCTCTCTCTCTCTCTCTCTCTCCCAGGTCAGTCTGCTGTGAGGTTAAGGTCATTGCACAAGCTGCAAATCTTTCTCCAGGAGACAAATTCCTGTTCCGGATGCCCCCAGGGCTTCAGCCATTTCCTCTCCCAGCAGGAGAATGCCAGAGGGGGGTCTAATTGCTTAGAGTCCTTTGTTTCAACAGTCTGACAACCAACAAGCCTCTCCTTGAAATGTCTGTTCCTGGGAGGTAGATGGATTACATTCCCCACTCTTTGCTTTAACTCCTCATTCTTGAGGTGAAATATGCCTGTGATTGAAAACAAAATCGTGTAAAGACTACAAGCAGGATTCAAGGTCAAAATACACCACCATAGTACCAGGTTCTGTGCTAGGAACCATTTCTGCATAACTCTTGGGTTTAGTTTCTTTCCCAAGGCTAGAGCAAGCAGCTCAATCCTGTTGGTTTGAAAAAAGGCCTGGCTGTGAAACCTAGGCTGACCTCAAACTGTTGTTCCTCCTGCTTCAGCCTCCCAAACCGTGGGTTTACACGCAGCCGCAACTCTGGCCAGCGTGACTCCATTTCAATCCCGACAGTATTCATCCTTGTCTCTGCACAGTGTCCTCTGAGGACATGATTAAGCACCTGATGGTTTGTTTTCTACTGACCCTGGTAACTGTATAAGCTGACAACATGACCGCTCTATGGTATGGTTAAGGGGGAAGCTTTCATTGTAGATATGAGAGAGAAACAGGCAGGGGCATCTGGAAGAGCCCAGAGCAGGAGGAGAAAAATGTAGACTAAATGTGGCCAGCAGGTTTTACCTGGCCACGAGAGACAGTGGTACAGAGCAGAGCAGAGAGCGAGAGAGGAACATCCAGGAGGAAGAACACTGGAGAGCAGAGAGAAGGGGAGGGAGAAGAGGGAGACAGAGAAGACGAGGGAGAGCCTGAGAGGAGTAGATGGACAGAGCCAGCATACCACAAATAGCAGTGTTAAAAGGAGAATGAGTAGCTGGGAGGGGAGAGGAGACCTGGTGGGGGGGGGGGGGGTAAGGGTAAGGGAGGAGGTAAGAAGAGCTAGGACACTAACAATGGGCTTCGGAATGTGTGACACATTTTTGTGATACCAAGAAAGCCTGGAGGCCAGCATGAGCTAATTGGTACCACAGACAGCCCTTTGTCCCTTCTGCTTTTTGGAATTTGGGGAAATGGAGTTTTCTTTGGACCTGATAGTAGCCAGGGTCACATTTGTCATGATTGGTCTCATTTGATCCTATGCTGGACAGGAGGAATGATAGATAATAAGGGGTTAGTGGCAGTAAACCCTTTAGGCACATTTTTAATTGAGCTCAAAGACGTATAGAAGGAGTAGCTCTTAGATTAGGGGTACCTAGGGTGCTTTCTCTTTGCTCTGTGGGTAATGTCTTACTACCCTAAAAATGTTGTTTGGGTTCTCTTTTCAGAGAACTACTGTAGAATTCTGACAGCTATAAAGCTTCACAGAAAAAATAACCAACAAGAATTATACTAATTCAAAAATGAAGTGTAGAAGCATGGCCTGTGGGTTATGAGGAGCTCCACAATGAGGAAGACCACACAAGATTTGACTTTTAAAGTGCTCAGTTTATTCACACAAACATTCCTTATAATACCATGCTAATATACAAGTTAAACAGACATCTCACCAAGCAAGCAAGGAACAGTGGTTGGAGAGAAAATGCTGCTGCAGGTTTCACTGGGGAATGCCTCAGTGAGGAAGGTTCAGAAGCTTGCAAGCTCAACCCATGCCTGCTATGATGTCCTTCATCTATGACAGGCTGGGAGGATAGCATTGGTGGAGGTCCAGAAGGTCCTTGAAGAGTGTCCAGCCAGCAGCTAGCACTGCCAGGCTGGCATGTATGTGCCCAGTGATGGTGCTGGAAGTTCAATGGTCACTGAAGTCAGGGACACATGGACAGGCCTTTAGAAACACAGAGATCCCTTTTGCCACTGAGAATCAACACATAGACTACAAAAGCCATGTCTTGGGAGCAGAGTAGTGCAATCCTAGAGACCATTTCCAAAGTTTCAATTTCTGTATACATCACTGGGCAGTAGCTTTGTGTTATCGGGGTCCAAGGCTTGGGGCTGGTTCATTAACCTATCAATGTCACCTTGGGGTTAGTTACTTATAGCACATCTGCTATGGAATAATCCTCTTGTACACTGTAAAGCTATGTCACTCAAATTGATTTAATAAAATGTTGTTTAGCCAGTAGCCGGGCAGGAAGTATAGGTGGGGTGACCAATTTAAGGATGATGGGAAGGAGAAAGGCAGAGAGAGGAGTCACCAGCCAGATGCAGAGAGACCAGGAGATGAACATGCCATGATAATAAAGATACCACCACATGGATGAGAGTAAATCAGGAATATAAGTTAAGTTGAAATGTAAGAGTTAGCTAGTGATAAGCCTGAGCTATTGGCCAAGCATTTGTAATTAATATAAATGTCAGTGTGTTTATTAAGGAGCTGCTTGGGGGACAGAAACTTTGGACTTCAACTATAAAAGCCTAAACCCTGTCTCGAAAAACCAAAAAAAAAAAAAAGAAAGAAAGAAAGAAAGAAAACAAATATAAAAGCCTGTCTTGATCTTAGTTTATATCTGAGCTGTTCTGTGGCCATCCCTAAGCACATCAGATCTTGCCTCTGAGGCCTATCTCTTATCAGAGCTGCCTAGCGGCAAACTCCTATCTTACAAGCATAACATTATTACATGTCACACAAAATGGTTTTACTTATGTTTTTAACATTATGTTTCACTTATGTTTCCAACAGTGACTCACAGACTTAGAAAAATCCAGTGTCTACCAATCCATACAAGACTTGCATAGTACTAGAAGCCTCTATACATAGACAAGAGCCAGAAACAACTAGCCTCATTCCACAGAAGAACTAGATAGACACCTATTATGTATTAATTTAACTTCTACTTCTAAAGGAATAGAATAAGTCTACATCATTGGCGACAAAAATGTTAAATCTCTTCCCAGTACAGGACCCATGTTAGTTATAAAAACTGTTATGTACAAGTGAAGCTCATACATTAACAAAAAGACAAACAGGATTATACCAGCTTTTCATATAGTCTAGATGACAGTTTTCCCAGACATCTTTTCAAGCCTAAAAGTCTTGAAGACTCTAAGAGGTCAGCATTATACCACACATGTAGGGAAGCCTTTCTCCGGAGGGTGGCCAGGCCCTCTGAAGAGCCAGCGTTACCCATTGTAAGCAGGTTCCAGTTGCTTTCTGGAGTCAGTTGTTACTGGAACTAAACAAAAACTGTCAGAAGCCCCAGTACAGCATGAAAAGATTCCTTCATTTGTATCAGTCATTGCTAAACAATCACCATTAAGTACAACTTTGTGGATAGGAGGAGTTTCCTTACTAGCTACCCATGAGTCACAAACTCAATGACTTGTTCTTCTTTCTCATCCAGGGTACTGCCATGCATTTATGGGTTTGCCTGGCATTTATCCATGGTCACCAGGCACAAGTTATTGAATCTAGTCCAGGGTAAAGAAGTTAGGTCACTGCGCTCCAGCCTTCCGTGACCATTGCTCAGGCTGTCTCTGGCTGCAGCCGCTGTCGTTGTCCTTCCTTTAGGCGTACACAGATGCGAGGAAGCCTGTGTTAAGCACGTTGTGCTCTTTTTCCATGTAATAAACTTACATGCCTTTAGCACTGTTACATTTTTTTCCACATGTAAAGTTCAAATTACACAGCTCTACATATTTCTAGTTACAGATGCATAGGGAATTCAATGTATTGAAATAGTTGCTTACACTGTGGTCATTTAAAAGACTTTAACACAGATACTTAAATAAGTCTTGACTTTGTTAAGACAATTCTGTGAGAAGATAAAAACTGCAATGTAAAAATATTATTTTAATAAAACATAAATATCTTGCCTTTCAAGTGAATCACAAAATGTTATTAATGTTAGAAACAAAGAATAATGTGGGTATCATGCTAAGGAATGCACACACACACACAAAAAGAAAAGAAAGTAGCTTGGCAAGAAAATTATTTTTGTAAAAGGGGTGCACCAGGCCCCAAACTAGGCACCCTCATCCAAGGTGGCATCCATTCTTATCCCTGGTATGGGCAGTAACTGTGTCTCATCCCATGTGTTGGAGTTCAGATTTACAATCTGACATAACCAGCTAATGTGTGCAA